CTAAAAGCATAGTCAGGATATAATATAGATTGTATGTCTAAATTGCATGAATGTACATTGTGTTTTGGTGAGGTGTTATGCAAGATGCCTTTTATTCTCTGGATCAAACACAAACTCTAGTCCTCTGGAAAGCAGTCCTGATGAATGGTTACCAGATGTACTCTCTAATTGAGCAGTAAACTATATTCCGTACTATAAGACTGTGGCACAACTAATGCAGAAGGCAAAGAGGGAATAAAGACTCAAAAGTAGGAAAAAGAATGACAAAAGGTGGAAAAGAGACACCGTAATAGTTTAAAATACACAAAACGGGCAAACGTATGGGTAAGGTGGCAAAAGGAAGTTTGCAGAGACGATGATGTATTGGGCAGAGTTGTTTTCTCCTGTGTAGCTAAAAGCTTTTGGACTGGCCCTGTGAATGCTTATGGCATGTACTGATTTAAATGAGCAGAAGCATATGTAATTCTAATGTCATTGTACAACTAAGTGCAGGATATAATGAGACTAGTTAAGATACCCTCCCAGTAAAAATCAGTTAGATGAATGTCCTGCCTTTTGTATTTCGTCTGCTGTTCGTGTAGTTAACCCTATTTCGTTCTTTCATTAAAAAAAAAAAAAACGAACAAACTACCGAACAGCCAGACCACCCGCACTGGGAGTGGGCAGCTCATTAATCGCCCAGAAGCTGCGGTTAACCACAGCTATTTGTCGAACGGCTTGGTGCTTGGTGCTTGCCGTTCGTTTGAACAAACACGTGGCGGCGGCCATTTTAAACCGATGAATGCCCAGTGGTGTTTGGTCGTCGACTGCGTTGAACTATTTTCGGCCACAATTTCACACGAACACTGCTGGGAATATCTAACTTCCACCTCATTCGTTTCTATTTACACGAACACCATGCCGTTCGGTACTTTTAACATACGAGGGAGACCGACCCCAGGTAGCTCAATACCTGGAGCTAATGTTGGACATATTTCAAACAAACAGTCGGAGAACAGACTCTTTAGCTTCATGGCGATTTGACTGTGTTCGTGGGATCTGAGCGCTGTTCGACTATATTGAGCGCTCAGACCCAAGCTATCTGGGGATATGTCCAATGAGAAAAGCAAAGTTTTATATTTGAATGTATTTTTGTTACTTTTGTAAAATTGAAATATTTTTCTACCTGGAGATAATTGAGTTTGCTCAGGACACTTAACCCAATTATCTTCAGGATAGAGAGGAGGGATTTCACTGTTCATGTGGGAGTGTTATGTTTTACTGTAAAATTATTGGTTACTGTATTTTGTGTTCCTGTTCTCCACAAGGTCCCTGTGGGAGTAACCCTTGCTGGAGGACCTGCATAAAAGGCCGAGCTGTGGCCATCAATAAACCAGATCGTTTTACCCCTTCATGAAGTCTTGGCTCATGTTTGGGGGATTGGGAGCTATATTTCACACCACCTTTGGATTTCTGGAGACATTGCACAGATATACTTGGCTGGAGTGTAAGATATCCATAACAGATGTTCTTTTATTACCTGTGGGCATTGTGACACTAGTAGGGATCGACCGAGTATTGGTCTGACCGATATTCAGAATTTTCAGCAATATCGGTATCTGCCTATAAAGATACAGATATTGCTGATAATGCAGACCAGGGCCACCATCAGGGCATGACAACCTAGATGGTTGTCGTGGTCCTGTTGGGCCTGCACCACACTCTTATTTCCCTTCCCAGCAGCTCCTTTCAGCTCCCCTGTCTCGCGAGTCCCGAGGCGGTCCTAGAGTTGCCACGGGTTACCATGGCAATGCTCCGCGCGGCACACAGGCCGTGAGAGTTAGACAGGGGAGCTGAATGGAGCTGCTGACAAGGGAAGTAGGAGTGTAAGAAGGTAAGACTCTCATTCTGGTCTTTCTTCATTAGCCTTATACCCTCGTCCTGCCAAGATTTATGGGATAAGTTGTTCAGCCCCTAGCTGCAACTCCACCTATCACAATAGAATATATTTAATCCATCAATCCTTGTTTAACACTGATCAGCTGATAGCTCTGAGTTAACCCACCCGAGATGCACTCTTGATAAGTGTAGAAGGGGGAGGCTGTGGAAAAAAGCTCTATTTTGTCAAATTAATAGAGGTTTGAAGCCTTGAGGGGGGATTAAAACAAAATGTTGAAAAATTTAATATTTAAAAAATAAAATGCTTCCCCATTTTACACACATAGCATGCCTACACAAACACTCACTGTATTTACTACACACACACTACACAAAGACAGACTCTGCATTAATTATATACACACACTACACAAACACACACACACACACACTGCATTCACTATATATATACACACACACACACACACACACACACACACACACACACACACTATATTCATTAATCAAATACTCTCCCTGCATCCACTACACACACACATTCTTACATAAAAAAAATTCTGACTGGCATCTATATTTTGTGCATTTACCTTAACAAAAAAATGTGCAAAAATAAATAATAAACATGTTCAGTTAACAGTAGATTTGTGTAGAAATAGTTTATTTTTTCAAAACGGTAAACGTACAGAATATCGGTATCGATAAGATAACTTATCTGCTGTTGACCTGATAGTTCACAGATTATCAGTACCTGCTATAAACCCCCCTCCACCCAAAAAAGAATATCTGTCGATCCCTAGACACTAGTATGGATAACTTGAATGTGTTCAGTGAAGTATGTATAAAAGCATTTATTTTTTATTTTTTTCTAATTCTGTTAAATCTAAGATTTGCTATATTTGTGAAGCCTACAGATGTTTAAAGGATCATTATAGGGTCAGGAACACAAACATGTATTCCTGACCCTTTAGTGTTAAAACCACCATCTAGCCCCCCTGGGCCCCTCATGCCTCCATAAATATAGTAAAAATCTTACTGTATCGAAGCCTGAAGCTGTAACTGTGCATGCTGTTAAGTGAGTTCTCTACAGTGTCCAACTTTACAGATACTTTGGAACTAATAGTGTTTCTTATGTTATTAGGAAGCCCTGATAATTTCCAAGTTAGAAGGTTTACAGCATACTGCAGACCTTAAAGGATCACTATAGGGTCAGGAACACAAACATGCTGAATGCATCTCTACGAAGAAAATTCAGGGTCTCTGCAGAACGTGGGGACGCTGAACGGCAGGGCTGCCTACTGTGCAGCACTAAGCCAGGAAGACCCTCCAGTGGCCATCTAAGGAGTGGCCATTTGGAGGTGTCCCTAGGGGCAATGTAAACACTGCCTTTTCTCTGAAAAGACAGTGTATAAATGAAAATGCCTGACGGGAGCTATTCTACTCACCAGAACAACTGCATTAAGCTGTAGTTGTTCTGGTGACTATAGTGTCCCTTTAATACACTACTAATTGGTCTTTTTCAATGTAGCAATTTTATAAGCGCTCAATCACCAATTATAAGGGTGTTTTTTCCCCTTCCTTTCAATATACCAACCATAATATAAATTATATATATTTTTTTTTTTTTTATATATATTTTTTTATCTATACCTAATCCCTCTCTCCCCTATTAGTTATTTAGTTTAATAGCCCACTTCTTTTGTAAGCCCTAACTGAATAAAGGACTTATCCAAAATTATTATAGAGACTCTTCAAGTGTTTTTTTTTAAATTTATTTGTAATTACTCACTTTCACAAGCATCACTGAGCTCTTTTTATTAATAATTATTCCTTGGTTCTTTTGTCAAGCCATCATCAATTTGAGAAATTATGGGAATTACCTTACTTCTGTCCCTAACTTAATGAATTTAGGGACTGTGGTTCTTCTTTCTTTATTATTCATGGTTACTTACCAACTGTGTTATCACTGCCGCAATTTGGTGTGCTCATTTAATGCACACATAAATCTTCAAGACCTAACAGCATCACCAGTTTGAAAGGAAACACAGCTCTTCGGTGTGGAGGCTCTCTAATTCAGTCCTTGAGGACAGACCGTTATCCTGGCATATATTTATGATTTTTCCATTTACAATGGATCTGTCATCTAAAACCCAACCGTACATTTATCAATAAAGTATAAAACTGTGTATATAGTTCAGCTCTGCTTTTCTGCTACTCAGCAGTTTGAAAAATCACTTATGAACAAAATTGCTTTCTTGATGTGTAGGACATTCCAGAGAGATGTAGCATACATACCTGGTTAAAAGTAAATTTTTATTTTTTTAATTTTTTTTATATATATATATATATTTTTTTTTTTTAATTTTATTTAAAATAAAAAAGTTCTTGGGCTGTAGCCCCTGTGCGTATAATTGTGGGAGAAAATAAGAATGTTTTTTTTTAGTTCTACATGACATTTTAACGGTCAATGTCATGATACTGTTTGCTTTTACTGCAATAAAATACACATATTTGTATTCAGCAAAGTCTCACGTGTAAAACAGTACCCCCTATGTACAGGTTTTATGGTGTTTTGGGAAGTTACAGGGTCAAATATATAGCATGTTACATTTAAAATTGAAATTCGCCTGATAGGTTATGTTGCCTTTGAGACTGTATAGTAGCCCAGGAATGAAATTTACACCCATAATGGCATACCATTTGCAATAGTAGACAACCCAAGGTATTGCAAATGGGGTACGTCCAGTCTTTTTTAGTAGCCATTTGGTCACAAACACTGTGTTTCAAAACAGTAATAAGTATCGCAGCAATAATATCGTCCGTGTAAGTGCTGTTTGTGCATGAAAAATGCAAAAAACTTCACTTTTACTGGTGATCTCATCGTTGTAATACATTTTACTGTTTTGAAACACTAATATTTGTGTTCAGCGAAGTCTCCCGAGTAGAACAGTACCCCCCATGTACAGGTTTTATGGTGTCTTGGAAAGTTATAGGGTTAAATATAGTGCTAGCAAATTAAATTCCCTTTACTTTCGGCATGGGTTGTCAGGCAGGTCCTGCTAATTGTAATGAATTAAGATACCTAATTATGTAAAAATATTACATAAATATATATGTAGCATTAATGTGTGTGTGTGTATATATATGTGTGTGTGTGTATACACACACACACACACACACACACACACACACACACACACACACACATATATATAATATTTTTTTTTTTTTATTATTTATATATAGGTGTGTGTGTATATATAGTGATATATACGTATATATTATTTCGTTCTACGTGTATTTTGATATAAATATATATACTAATATCACAATACAGTTAGAACGAAATAACATACATCTATATATTTTTTATTTTTTTTCTTTATTGAAAAAGTTTTCTCATTTTTTCATACATATGACAAAAATAGTGCAATTTACATACAGACAAAAACAGGTGTGACAATAACAAACATATAATTTACATTATTACAACTGCTCTAATCTAAAGTATAAGATAATTCCCGAACTAAACAGCTAAGGATATCTTAATAAAAAGATAAATTCTTTCTTGTAGAGCTGTTGTCAAAATAAGTATAAATATGGGCTATGGTCAGTCTAAACATCATAGGAATAAAAATATCACTGTAATGTAATTATCTATCGAAATCTAAAAAAAAAAAAAAGAAATAATTCATTTATTTTCCAAAATTCGAATCCAGTTAGTGTATTGGTCTTGTTTATTTATAAGAAATATAGAGGAGACTGGTAAATCTTTTTCCATTCGAAGTTGAAATAAAATTTGATTAACAAGCTGACACCTCTGGAAAGGGAGATGCGACTTCCATTGTCTTGCTATTATTATCTTTACCGCCAAAAAGCAATGGTCTTAGAAGAGGTGGGAAAAAGTTTCCAATTTAAATGTAACAGTGCTGTATCCGGGACTTTTTTAATTGTAATATTAAATAAACATTTAAGTATTTCAAAGGACCACTCCCAAAGACCTTTAGCTAAACTACAATGCCACCATATATTAACAAGTGTTCCCTCTGGATAGCCACAGCGCCAGCAATGAGGAATTTGACCTGGATACATCTTACTTAATTTATATGGAGTCAGGTACCATTTATACATAATCTTATATTGACATTCAACTAAATTCTGACAATGAATATCTTTAAGAGACGAACACCATTCCTGCTCAATTATGTCAATATTTAAGATATTTTTCCAATTATCAAGGATCTTTAAGGGTTGCTGATCAAGGATGGATAAAAAGTTAGTAGCTTTTGAAAGAATTTTATTAACCTTAGTATATCTAAAGATGGTTTGAATAAGAATATCAATTTTTGGCGACATGTTTAGTAAGAACTTATTCAAAAATTTTTTAATTCTTAAATAAGAAAAGAGTTCTTTGTTAGGGAGGAGGAGTTTGACTTGAATATCAGCAAAAGATAAAATTTGGTCATCCTGGAGGATGTCCCCAATCGTCCATTGAAGTTTGGACCAGTTATTTAAAGAAATATCCTCGATATTATCTTCTAAAACAATCAGATGGCATGACTTAATTATTTTATTGGAAATTTGTTGTTGTTTTTTTATCATCTCCCAAGCACTGATAATTTGTGACAGGATTAATGATTTACTACATAAAAAGTCTGCCTTTTTTTTATTTATTTTTTTTATTGGTTTTTAAGCCATAAATAAATTTCTAATCTATCTTTTCCAACCGCCTCAGATTCAATTTGGTACCATATGTCTGTTTTAAACGATTCAACCTGAAGTTTATATATGTGACCGATGATGTTAGCATAATAACTGTAGCGGAGATGCAATATTCCCCAGGTTATATCCGCTTATAATCCAAGTGAGGCTCAGGAACAAGTAAATAGTAAATCCACAGGCAAGGTTTCCAGCAGGTAAAATAACAGCAATATCCCAACAGCAATCCCAATAACTGGACGACACACAGTTTCAGGAGCAGAACTGAAATCTTTTAATCCACACTGTCCTTTTAAAGCATGCTCCCATGCAAGGGAGGGATTTACATCATTAGTACAGTAGCCAATCCTGTCCTGGTAACCTCCCACACATCTCCTCCCCTCAGCCTGCATCATAATCCCCTTATCCAGTCTAGCAATTCCCCCCGTTTCTGGATGTACCCCTAAACGTAGGGGTACCCCTTTAAATCCTACATCCCCTGATAGCCCTGATCTGGGTGAACAACATATCCAAAAATCACCCAGATCAGACCAGGGGTTCGGGAAATGTATTGAGGGAATAAAATGACCGACCGCACTGATTGAGATAGCCGAATGCGGTTCCATGCGAATGGGCCCTGCGGTCGGTCCTGGAATAAGGGAACAAATTGCACGAAAGCCTATAGCTATAGAGACTAGGGAGGGTTCGCCTGAATCCCCTCGTTCGGTTCTTTCTATCTACCGAACGAGGGGCCGTTCGGTAGTTAGGAACTGAACGGACTGGGCTTGTGGAGGATTCAGCGGTGTTCACCTAGTCGAGCGTCCTATTTGAGTTCCAGACACTCGACGGCAAAACACAGCTGTTCGGGAGTTTTAAAATGGCGTGTTCGTTTGTCGAATGGCGGCCACCCCCGAGAACAAAGGACGGCTACTTAACTTGTCAATTACCCGTTCGCAACAATGTTGCAACGGGTAATTGAGGACACACTTCACACAGGGGAGGTCTGATTGTTTGGTAGTTTCAGTCCCTTAGTTTATTCGAATGATTCTACCGAACAATCAGAGGAATACAATTCTTTTAAACACATATAACCGCAGATCACACGAATGCAGTTATTCACAATACATTTGCAGGACAGCCCAGTGCCATCCGCTACAATAACAATTTCTGATATTTGGGTAGTTTACACCTCCATTTTGGGGTTTCCTAGAGAGAACTTTAGAACTTATTCTGGGTCTTGTCGTTTTCCAAATGAATTTTTGAAAACTGGATTGTATCATAGTTAGCCAGATATCTGAGATTTGAAGGGGAATCATCCTGAATAAATACGACCATTTGGGCATAATGTAAGCATTAATTATGTTGATCCTGCCGATCCAAGAGGATTCGGTTAAGCGCCATTCTTTTAATCTTATATTTGTATATTTCAGGAGATTCAATACATTTATTTCCATAATATCGTTAACTTGAGATGAAATTAACACGCCCAGATAATTAAAAACATTGTTAGACCATACGAAATCGTAATTATCTCGCAGGTCTTTTAAACTATGGATGTCGACATTAGTGGTTACAGCAATTGATTCAGATATATTAAGTTTGTAATTAGATACCTTAGAGTAACTTTTTATAGCAGATAAGACTTGGGGGAGAGAAGATTCTGGAGAAGTGTTAATAATATATCATCGGCATAAAGTGATATTTTTGCTTCTGAGTTGTTAGTTAGAAAACCTCTGATATTCAAATTGGTCCTAATATTAATTGCCAGGGGTTCTAAAGTTAAGATATAGAGAAGGGGGGATAGGGGACATCCTTGCCGTGTGCCATTATGTAGATTAAACCAGCTTGATTGAATATTTACTCCTACAGTTCTAGCTATTGGTTCGGAGTAAAGTGCCAAAATGGCATCATGAATCCAACCTATGAATCCAAAAGAAGTCAATACCTCGTCGAGGAAGCCCCAGCTGATCCTGTCAAAGGCCTTTTCAGCATCCAACGACAGGGTCAGCAGTGTAATCTCCCGACGGAGTGCACCATCCAAAATGTTCACTATTCTTCTGGTGCAGGTATCAGAAGTTCTACCTGGCAAAAAACCGACCTGATCAGAATGAACGACTCTCTCGACAAATGATTTTAATCTACATGTTAATATTGCTGCGTATATTTTCATATCTGTATTGATTAAAGAGATTGGTCTATAGTTCTTAACGTCTGTTGGTTCTTTATTTGGTTTTAGTATTGGAAGGATATTGGCTCGTAGCAACTCCTTTGGCGTTTTAGCTTTTTTGGCCATTTCATTAAAAAGAGCCGTTAACGGAGCAGTTATTTCTTTTTTCATTACTTTATAAAAGAAATTGCTAAATCCGTCCGGTCCAGGGGTCTTATTTAATTCAAGTCTATCGATCTCTCTTTCCACCTCATTCACCGTAAACTCATAATGAGCTAAATCTTGTTTGTTGATTTTTGGGATATCGATATTATCCAAATATTTTTTGATATCTTGGCTATCTGATGATATACCGAGATTATATAATTTACTATAAAATTCATTAAATAATTGTCCAATTTTTTCCGGGGAGGAGTATGTAATTTGATCCTCAACCAATTTATTAACCCTATTATTTGAGTTTTGCTTTTTTAATCTTTTAGTTAAATTTTTGTTTGCTTTGTTACTTTGATGGTAAGTATTTAATCTCAATTTGTTAATTGTTCTTCTAATCTTTTCTTCTATCTTTAAATTAATTTGTTTTTGTAATTCTACAAGTGTTGATCTTAATTGACTGGTTGGGAGATCTTTATTCATTTTGGACAGATTAAAATATTGAATGTTTAAGTCTGTTAGGTCTCTATTTATCATAGTTTTGGTATGTTTTTCTATTTTAATGAGGTAGCCTCTAATAGCCACTTTATATGTAGACCACAAAGTGGAATCTGAAATATCAGGAGTGGAATTTTCAAGCCCAAAAAAACTTGAAAATTTAATTATGGAATCTTGATTTATTTTAGATTTAAAGAGAGAGTCGTCCATTCTCCAAGAGTCCACAGATCTCTGCAAGACCCTACCCATTTCTAATATTACAAAACTGTGGTCTGACAAAGTATTATCTTTAATTTGAATTGTATTAATTTCTTTCAATGTATTGGCTTTTACTAAACATAAATCTATTCATGAATACGAATTATGAACTTTAGACAGATTCGTAAAGTTCCGTAAATCTGAATGTGTTACCCGCCAAACATCATACAGACCATGCATGGCACATTAATTAGACAAAATTTTAGATTGTTTATATAACTGGCTATCAGACTTTAACTGAATGAGGTTTTTTTTGTCCATTATTGGATCGAGAACACCGTTAAAATCGCCTGCTATCAGCAGAGTGCCTATTGTTTTATTTTCTAATCTATTCATAATTTTTGAAAACAGGGCGGTTGGATTAATATTTGGTAGATATATATTAACCAATGTGTAAGTTATAGTTTCTATTTTGCAGATAATTATAAG